TGTGTGTGCGTACACACACACACACACACACACACACACACACACACGATATATATATATATATATATATATATATATATATATATATGTGGAGAGAGAGACAGACAGAGACATAGAGAGAGCCCTGAATGGGGGAAAGCAGGCTCAGGCTCAGTTACAAGGACTGGGATGCCAAACTCAGAATCTGGCCCACACCATGGCCACAGCTGCAGCTCAAGTGTTTCTGGGAGCACAGCTCATCAATGTAACTCAGGACTCCAAAAGCTGAGTAGAAATCATCTTCTTTCTGCTCCGGCTCACTGTTCTCCTCTTTCACTTTTTCTGTGGACTCTCCTGTGTGCACTTGTGGAAGCCTCTCTAGCCAGTCCATAATATCCATGTACTCCTGCACGGCTTCAGGTGGAATCTCCATGGGTGACTCAGTCTTTTGTAATTGCCTGTGTCTGAGTACTTGGAGGCAGGCAGGGTCAGTCTTGGAACAAGTCTTCATGGAGTTGCATGCTAGGAGATAGGAGAACATGATGATATATAGATATGGTTTAGTTTCACCCTAATCATGGCATGTAGACCATAGTTCAGAGGAACCACAATGGCCAAGGGTGACCCCAACCTAAAGATCTGTGACAGGGGACATTGCAAAGGGTTGATATGTCTAGGATAGTCATGTGAGAGAGTATTTGGTGCCACCAATATTTCAGGTATGCTCCAAACTGATTGGCCAGGTCCTGATCATAAGGTGTTTGTGTCCTTAGAGAGTAAGGACAGAGATAATCAATGATGGTAGCCAGCTCAGTGATTACCCAGTTCAAGACTAAGGGCTGCAATGTCCCCCGGGCTACATAGAAAATGCCCTAACCTGAAGGAAGAAGCCTATGTTCAGGGCAAAACACATTTTGACTGATTTTTACCTCTGCATAGAGACCTAAAGATATGTGATCCCTACCTGGCTCTTCAAACACCTCAGGAGCTGGGGGCCTATGAGGATCTTGCCTTGTGGATGTAACAACTTGGCTCTTGATACTTCTCATCATCTCTAGCCTTGAATTCTCAATCTCCAGCCTTGAATTCTCCTTCTCTTCTGCATTCTCAAATTCTGTAAACCTAAGGATGAGGGAGGGCAGGACTCAACCAAGAGATTACTAAAGATGGTCATGTGTGCAGGGTCTTGGGATGACCTGGTACAGTCCCATGAAGTTGCTGATATTGGAACATAACCACAGCTCTGGAGGCACACTATATCCTTTGGTATTTGTGGGAATCAAAAAAGTTTGAGGTGGCCCAAGAAGGGCTTTCATGTGACTCTTCCTTAAGACCTATCTTGACCTTGCCTAGAGCCACACAGAAGCCTAGATGGCCACAAATATGACTGATGAAGTACATCAGGGATCTTGAACCAGATCCAGAGATGCTGAAGCAGAGGGTGGGAGAGCTGGAATGAACTGGGAGACAAGGGCCCAGGAGATGCCAGGAGAAAGTAGAAGGGAAACTGAGAGGTGTGGCTGCTTCCCTCTGAGAGTTGTTTGTTGGCTTGTATGCATGACAGTATCACACTGAGCAAAGACATGAAGACCAGAGACATGTCCTCACATGTGTAAGAAGCTTCCTTACTTTCTGCATGCTTCTTTTCACAACCACTCCAGGTAAATGAGGATACAACTGAGGCCACCCTATTGGGATGCAGTAATCTCTACTGTCAAAAAGCAGTGACTCAGTACCAGGTAGTTAACTTAAGACTTGTGGAGCATGTTGGCATTGTACAATCCATGGTGTTGGAGGAGACCCGACAGGGCTGGAATGGGTCAGTTTTTCAACCAATGAGTTCAGAAATGCTGGGACCATGGGGCATATAGCTCAGCACTCCAGGAAGTGAGAACAGGATCGTGGACCTCATGGATTACCACCAGGGGCTCAAGTATTGGGTAATCCTCCTGGCAGTGTGTGGGTGACAAACTCTCCAGACCAAGCTCCAACTGAGGAGTACCCCCAACATATACCCTCCTCCAGAATCCTGACTCAACAGGCCCACCCATGTTAAACAGTTCTCCACATGCCCTGCTTCAAAATTCCCTTGACTCACTTTTCAGCCATCTCAAAGAAGATCATCCGGTCATAGTTGCTTGTACACTGCCATTCCTGCAGACCCCTCCACAGGCCCTCCTCCACATTCATGGTAGGATTCCACTGGGCCAGGGACCGAAGCACTGGACTGTAATTCATTAGAACAACTCAACCCAATAATCTTGATCCAGCAGTCCCTGCCCAAGATGCATCTATAACCTTGAGTCAGAATAAAGTCAGCTTCTAGGAACTCCTAACCATACAGCAGACATAAACACAAAGATCTCTGACTATTTCCCAGCCTACCATGTGAGTCTCCTTCTATCACTGTGTGTGGAAGAATGCATGGAATGATCTGGAACCTAGGGTAAATGACTGGGTCAATGGTGCAAATCCATGCTGGAGATAATCATGGAGCAAAGAGACCAAAAGTTTCCCCAGGGAAGGTTTGGAGCCTTTCTGGCTTAAGGGAAATTCCTTAGACGGTGGGGTGAGGGACAAATGTACAGGTCTTTCTGGAGTCCAGCACTCTTCCCCATCCTGGTTGTGACATGCTGTGGGCCCTAAACACTAAGGTCAGTGATAGAAGATAAAATGCTAAGGCAACAAAAAACTACCAAATGGAGTGAAAGGCCTAAATCCAAACCCTAGATTTCTGGGACTCCAGGATCCCCCGTTTGACACCTCTATTTCTCAGATTGTGACTCTCTGGAGTGGTTCTGTCACCTTCAGCACCTTCCTTGTCCACCACACACTCATCATGTTGGAGCCCAGTAGGACATTCCAGGCGCAGGTGACACTCACATGAGGAAGCAGGAGAAAGCTGACACATCTGGAGTCTGGGACAGGTGCCGCTGGACCAGAGTCTTGATATGCTGCCAGCGCTGGATATTCCCATAGACACTGTCTTGTTTGGACAAGCAGTTTTCTGGGAAGCTGTTTTGAACATTGGCTGGTCCACTATCTCCAACTGCTCCTTTTGGAGGTGGTGCTGAGTTTACTGGGGACCGGACAGGAACCAACTGGACAACTGGCTGTGTTGTGGGAGGGTGAGAGCCCAGGACCCACAATTCTTCTTGGGGTTGGAAGGCCAAAGCAATTTGAGCATTTATGAAGGAATTTTCCTCAGTTGCTGTCATGAAGTGTGAAGCAGGGCACCCTATAACCCCGCCTTGGGTCACAGGGACATTACAATTGAGGGACTCCTCTGTGACTACAATGTTTGCATTGGGCATGGGCTGTACAGACCTGCCTGGTGTCCCCACTTGCACAATGTTCAGAGGTACAGCTGTATCCAGAGTCGTACTTCCACCTTCTGCCACCAAAGACATCCCAGGCAAGGCAGATAACACTAGAGGATTCCAGGGAGAGATGCCTCCAGTCAGGAGGTGTTCTGGGGGCTCCCAGAATAATTGGAGTGTTGGCTGGGGGGCAGGTGGGAGAACAGGCAGGGTTGCAAATGTAGACATGGAGGCATCGAGGTTGACAGTCATGTCCTGTCCCAATGAAGATGCTGGAAAGTTAAAGAGAAACAGGAGGGCAGCTCTCTAGTCCTGGTAGTCAATGGTAATTAGGGGAGGATCATGGGGAAGATTAGATTGTACTGTTTGCAGATGTCCCCTAAGGAATTCCCTGCTCGGTTCATCTGACTGAGCATTGCTCCAGCAGAGATCTTCCTGTCCATTCGCAACATTCCCTGATTGCTGCTGTGGAGAGGAGCCCTCGGCTTTCCCACCCCTGAGAGACTCTTTTGGGAATCCCTGGCAGAAAACTCATCAGCGTTCTAGCTCTCTCCCTAGGCATGGATCAGTGTGACTATGTTTGGACCATTATGCCAGTAATGATGCCTGTGGGAGGCAAGGCACCATCAATGAGGGCCAGTTTCGAGAAGGGCCTCTGTAAAGGTGGCAGGTTTCAAATATTTTAACCTCAAACCCTTCTGAGTGTTCCTTCCACACTCTCAAGCCGCACTCCCTTTGTAGCCCAGCACTGCAAACCAAAACCACTTCAGTGCTACCCTCCAAACCAGCACTCCGGAATCCTGGAGGCAACCCCGTAGCATGTCCTACCCATGCTGCTCCTCCCTCTCCTAATGCCTCCCACAGAGAACAGCAATGGGATAGATTATGGCAGCTCCACACTGCCCTGATCCACATTGATCCACACTGTGGTTTGCAGATGTTTCACAGCATTTGCATGTAAGATACCTATACAGAACCCTGGTACCTTGTCCTTGAAAGCCCAGCAGTGGTGAGTGGAGGGGCTGCCCGGGGGTGTGGGTGTTTTATCACAGTCACTGGTATTGTCAAAGTTGGCCATGAAATGAAAACCACATGTGGTCCTTTACTTGTGAGCTCCCAACAATATAAAGAATATTTTGGTGGTTGAGTATAGTCAATATAAATGAATGCTTTTGGGGTTGGGTATAGTCATGAGCCAGGTGCCAAGTGGGAAGACATTGTTTGAAATTATTTTTGTTAAGTAGGAACACAGGAGGGCCCCCCTCAAAGAGAGCCAATTCCAAAAAGCTTGTACATGATGGCCAGGACACATGTCCTAGCACTGATTAACAGTAACACAGAACATGATCCAAGACAACTGCTTCTCTCTAAAGCCTCAGGAAAAGGATCAAACCACTTCAGAACCCAACCAAACCAACAGCACTTCAGGACCCTTCCCTGAGTGAAGGTAGCTTTGGGGAAGAGAGGATTCCTGTTAGTTACATGATGGGCTATGAGAACTTCACAAATTCTCTTGAGACAACACCTCTAAACTGACATTTTAAAAAGTTGTGTAACGATTCAGGCATTATCCTGGCCTGTCCCTGTCACCAAGAGAATAACCTCAGGCAGTGCCCCGGTCAGCCCATGTGCAAAAACCCTTTAAAAGAAATACCTCTGCCAGCTTATTATCTCTTTCCAGCCCTCTTTTTAATGCTGTCTTTCTGCTCTATGATCTCTCTCTCCCTCTTTCCCCACTCTCTTTTTCTCTCTCATTCTGTCTTTCCCACTGTTCCCTTGGGGAAGATAGGACTTTTTCTGTCTCCCTCTTCTCTTTGTCCTCTCTGTGTCTCTGTGCCTGTGAATCTTTACCTGTTTCTCCCACCCCATTTTCTAATAAAATTTCTCACTAGTCTCTGTCTGCCTAGTGTGTTTGTCCTTCTGCCTCTATCACACTCAACTGCCATGGAATCTGCCAAGGTTCCCCTCAAGCCTTACCAAAACAAGTAGGTCTAAAAGTTGAGAGCAATCACCTATTTCTTTGTTAGTTGATATTTCCTAATTGCTCTGCTTCTGAAGACATCAAATACCTGGTGATGGAGAAGCCTTCCTCCATGGGAAGGCTTGTGCGACTCTGGGCTGCCAGGTTTTAGAGTAACCTCCATCCCCACAGAAATGACCCCAATGGGCTATTTCCTGCCTGGTCATTTCTCTTCACTGTACTTCTAAGGTCTATTGTGGCCCAGTTAAATTTCTGAGACCCATAATGTCATAGCACAAGTTCCAGCGGCTTGGAGAAATGACCCAGAGCTCAAATGTTGCCCATAAATATTCCCTGAGACACCACAGTGAACAACTCCACTACATCTGTAAACTGTGCTTAGTAGACCTGCCTGACACACAGGAAGAGCCAGTCTAGGGCCTGTCATTGTATCTTCTGATCAAGTGTGCCTCCTTGTGTCAACATAGTTCCACCATGGGCTCTGTTCATCTTGCCATAAGCTTTGTCATCTTCCAAGGTGAGATGTCCTTGCAGAAGTCCAGAGCTGTTTCCCACCCACTCACTTGGTCCAGTAAATCATTGCTAGTAACAGATTTAAACTGCCAGTGGCAGGGACTCTGGTGCCACACTCTGATACTCCAGGCTTACCTTCTGAAGTTATTCCTACAGGTTTGGACAGTAACCATGCCAGACTGCTAGGATCCATAGTGATCAATCTCAGAGAAATCACGCCAAGAGTCACCAATATGTACCAGAGTCTCAAGAGAGCCAGCCACAGTGTTGAAATTTTGAAAGTAAACTGCTTCAGAACATGGCATTGAGCATTCTACAGTGGGGGAGGGGCAGAGAGTTAAACAGGGCTGGGGACATTCCATGAGGGGTTGCGGCAGGTACATGAGAACCTTGGCGTCAGTTTAAATGATGCATTGATTGCACATACTTGGTGTTTGCTTCTAGGCACATTTTAATGGTTTCTTATAGTCACAGCACACTGGGGTCACCAGTGCCCTCTTCCTTCATTTCATCTTTAGTAGACCTTGTTTTATTCCTCCATCCTGAGTCCCAAATCACTCCTAGAGACTGTAGGCTCGTGAGTATTTTTACAATGTTTACACTTACTCAACTAATTATATATTCAGACAAATATAGAGGGTCAAAGCAACAGAGCTAGACATATTTGTAATTATGATCTTGGGAGATCCTTGGATTATCCTGCCATGTGCATATCATTCTTTATGAAGCAGTCCTTGTGTGTCCAGCCAGAGAAGTGCTGGTATATCTGCACCCTGAAGCATGATAGTCTCAGTCACCCTTTTGCTAGACTCCCCAGCCCATTAAGGCTTTGCTCTGCATAAGTAACCCATGGGACTCAAATTGAAAATACTTTTCTTTCCGTCTGTGGTATTGAGTCCTTTTATTCCAAACAGATATTTGACAATTAAAAATCTGTTCTCCACCACAAAAAATAATGTGTAAGCTTATGTGATAAATTGCCCCTCCTGAGCTCCTTAGTGGGAACACGGTTAAATTGGAGGGACACAAAGAGAAAAAAACATCCTTCTACTCCAAAACACAGAGGCTCAAGGCCCCCATTTTCCAGGCATAGAAACCCATTACCTATGTACATTTTGACAAAGCCAAGGTTCCATTTGCTATTGCCCAATACTGATTTTTGTGTGTGCATGTGCCCACCTCATTCTTAGCGCCAATATGATCCTGGATTCACTAGCTGTAGGCTTCCATCTTGGTTTTTTGTATGCGGGTGTCCTTTCTATCATGTTTCTTGGTTGCATCTCTGACTTAATAGAATTCACCTTAGGAATTCTTACTGTTATGATGCTAAAGCAAACAGCATTCACAACACATAATATTTGCATTTGTATGACAATTGCACATACTGGAGATGACATTGCAATGCATAGTGGGTAAAAGCCCCAAATGTTCTACACTGTGGTATGCTGTTTGCATCTTACATATTGGGAGTTTTTGACATCAGTTGATAATACACAAAGTGCAGGCTTTCAGTAGCATGAAATGTTTGATATTCTGTCATAAAAGAACTTTGCTTTAGATGATTTTCTTCCATTATAGGATAGTGTCTGTTCTGAACATGAATAAGTTGGGTCAGGCTAGGTACAATGCTTCAATGTTTGGTAAATTAAGCATGCATTTGGCTTGTGATATTTTCTGATGATGATACAGCATTATAACTGAAGGTGCAGGTGCCTTTCAGTGTGGGGGCATGGCTGTAGCACCCGTTTAAAGAAAGCTGGTCTGGTTCCTAAGTTAACATTGTGTCTCATGTTGTGACTTGAAGGGTTGCTAGGAAATGGTTGAGGAGGGAGGTGGACTCAGAATCCAGAGAGCTGCCACAGAAGCTGTTGAGTGCAAGCCCTACCTCCCTGGTAGGAGTCAGTAGTGTTCCTGATGTGGGGTTTTGGCCAGAAGAGAGGGTCAGAGGGACCCAGACTGTCAATTAAAGGTAGGATGACACCGATTTCATAAGAAACATTTGTGAACTGGAATTATTAGCAGAGATCTCCTTGTGAAAAAGATTTTAACATAGTGGATGTTATAGGAAGAACCTAGAGGCAGATTCGAAGTAAATAATGTCTCAGAGTGTCTCCTGGGTCTGATTTTTTTTTTTAAAAAAAATTTGGCTACCAGTGTTCCTTATGGGAGCTTTCAGAAAGTATGGGAGAGGACATGCTACTATTTTTGAACTGTGCAAAGGATACATGCCATCTGAAGAACTAGGGTAAGGATGAAGAAGCTTAGGGTAAGGATGCTAAATGGATTCGTGGAAGGTCTGTAATAACTGCTTTTAAGGAAGGATGGGTGTCCAGGTTCTGTTTGGAGGCCAGACAGGAGGTGGTCGGCACTCCACAATCATTATTTTCCTCTCCTGCAAAGCTCTATGTTTCACCTGAGCACTCCTGTTTACACATGCTATTGGAGTTCCAGTGCAAGCTCCTCCATCCTCCTTCTGCTCCCTGCATCTGTTCCTTATGCTCTCTGTGAGACACAAGTGCTCAGCACAGCACGATCTCACTGGAACAAGCATGGAGGATGCTGGAGAAAGCATACATCTCTAAACGTTTGGCAAATATGGCAGTGTCCAGAATCTGTTACATAAAAATAGGTAATGGAAAGTAGGGCCTAACTTCCTGGGCATTCAGTCACCACTGTTGCTGGCCCTTGACAGTTATTTCTTTGTATCTTGCAGGCAGTATGTCCCTCTCGAGGCTCACCTGAACCCTGGGAGTTTTTATACTACTGGCATTGGCAAGTGCCCAGACCAGGGCTTTTAACATCATTCTGTAGGCTGTCTGGATTTGATGTGTGTGTGTTGGGGGTGGATGGGCAGAGTTAATAAATGAGGTATGAACTTTGAAAGTGTACCTCAGCCATGTCCCCTACATTCTCAGGAAGCTTCCAAAGTGTTGTAAATTGTTACTCAGTTGAGCAAACAAATTTCTCATGTTGTTGAAAAATGGGCAATTTTGACACATAAGCATAGACATCAGCCAGAAATATAACCTTCATGTTGTAGTGTTGCAGCTCTTTTAGTTGCTATTGATGTCTGTGACTTTTCACAATTGAATAACTGGCCTTTAAAATTCAGTCTTGTATCTCCTTTTGTACCTTAAGGGTGGCAATAATAATAATAATAAAACCATTCTGTGAAAATCAGATGTGTAAAAGGAATTTACAACAAAGACTATTTTATTACTATATTGTATTCAACTATTATGTAATTGTGTGTGTTTGTGTGTGTGTGTTTGTGTGTGTGTGTGTGTGTGTGTGTGTGTGTGTGTGTGTGTGTTTGTGATTTTTGGGAATGAGAATTGTGGGGTGATTTTTTATGTGTAATTTTGTGGTGTGCTTGATGAGTATATGGGGGAGTAACTCAGAATATTATGGTTTACTGTATAATTTTTAGGACATAAAATGGGGAGTAATTCTGAATTTGTGGTTTTGCATTATGAGTGTTGAGAATCTAATGTGTGTATTCTCATGTGGGGGATTGTCTTTGTTTAGATATTTGTAATTAGGGGATTTTGGTAGTGTGTAGAGCTTTTTTATATGCAGACAATGAGTTAACCTTGAATTTCTAATTAGGTATCTGTAATTTGAGTTTCAGAAAATATTATTTCTTTTTTCCCATGAAAGTTGATATAGTTTCGTTTGTTGTGGAGCTTGGAAGAAATGTGTTCACATTGGATAAGAAATAAGTGCATGTTGACAATGTTAAGAAATTGTGCATATTTATGTGGCAATACAAAAGGGAGAATATTATTGGGAAAATGTAGAGTTATTTGTATATTTGGAATGTCATGGATGGTTACAGGATTTGTCTACTGTGATTTTAGCATCTGAAGGCAGAGGCAGGACCAGTTTTTTTTGGGGGGCAGGGGATGGGGTTTGTACACTTGTAGTGCCAGATTCATGTGGTTCTATATTTGGCAGAGTGAGGATTTATTTCTTTGTGGATATTCAAAATATGTCATCTCATTTATGCAAGTGGTGAGATTGCACATTCGTGGGAAGATGTATTTGCACATTTGTAGTGCTATATTATGTTTGATGTAGGTGGAGAAATCTATAAGAAAGGAGTTTACATTTTCATGTATGGCTTATGAATGTTTCTATTTTCTGTTTATTCCAGATTTTTGTGTGGAGAATGTTTAAGCAACAAAATATTTACTAGAGTGACATGGCAGTTTGGATGAAGGTTTTCTGATGTTGTATACATGGTAAGTAGGGATGAATTAGTATACATAAAGCAAATAAACAAGGATGTGTATATCTGATGGGTAGGTGAGAGTTTACATTTCATAAGCAAGTTTGTGGCAACTGTTGGCTGCATTGGTGTTTATAGTATTGTTATGTGTTAATATTGATGATGTAGGAAGTGGTTTCTAGCAGGTAGAAATCATTCTGGTTCAGCAGTTGGCTTGTATTTGTAATTTAAATGTTATGTGATTGATATTTCTCGTCCTTGGGCATTTACACTGCTTATATTTATCTGTCAATGAGTATATGAGATATGTATATTTGTTCATTGAAAAAGAGGTCATTTGTAATAGGCATTAATTACTTTTGCATTGCTGTTATAAAACATCATGACCAAGGCAACTTATACAATCAAGGGTTTATTTGGGATTGCAGTTCCACAGGGTTCAGATCAATCATGGAGGGTAGGAAGCATGGAGGTGTGGCAGCAGGAACAGGAGGAGGCTGAGCAGTCACATCTTGAACCACAAGCACCATTCATAGAGACTGAACTAGAAATGGCACAGAGGATCTAAACTCTCAAAGTCCACCTACAGTGACTTCCTGGAACAAGGCTGTACCTCCTAAATCTCAACAAACAGTGCCACCAACTAGGGTCCAAGTGTTCAATCATCTGACCCTGTATGATACATTCTCATTCAGATCACAAGTGTATAAATCACATTGAATTATATATTTTTGGTTATTGATGGTGTTTTTGTCATGGTCTGGCATGTCTCAGCCCCAAACCACAGAAGCCAAGAGGTCTGGTCTGAGTTGGGGAGTGTGGACATGGGAATCTTAATAACCCAATGGCAATAAAGACCAGACATAGGCATCTGGATTTCTATTGTATAGGCAGTGTTGAGTTTCCTTCTGACTGGGAATTAGAAACATGATCTAAAGTAGTCTTAGCCTTTGATGGAAGAA